CATGCCAGATTCACTAGTTGCAAATAAAACGTACATACCAGTGATTGCAATAAAAAAGGAAACCTCGCGAAACGCACACGGAATAAGATATCATCCGTTTTATATTATTTGTGTGGATCTGTACACATTTGATAGATCACTGATATTAGTTGACAAAGCCACGACATATTCGTGGAATCTTTCATGGTATCAGATGTTACCGGTAAGCAATCACATAGACGACTGTGCTTAAAATAGCCAGTTGTGGCTATAGACAAACAATCCAACAACACACAACTCAGCAACAGCTCCTTGGTCATATTGTAGTAGACCATTTAGAATATATTGGAGAGGAACTTACCTTCAGAGAGAGCTCCTCGCACAGAGTGTATGATCCCGCAAGTGCCGTGAGGTTGGGCTTGGACACCAACACACAGCTCTTACAACACTTCAGGTTGTACTGTGCGTTTGATCGGCATTTGGTGCACATGGCATCGTTACACACACTGCAGTTGACTTTGCGTTTGAAGAAGCCGAATTCTCCACTGCAGTCGGTACACACAGTTGCTGCTGTCTTGGAGGGCCCAGTGGATGCACGCTTCCAACTCGCGTCGCCACTACTCATGGTTGCGGTGTGTTTGCGTTTGACGGTAATGGTGGCGGTTATCAATGGCTTTAGCAGCAACTACTTTGAATGAAGGTATGGTTGAATGTGCTACTTGAATGTGTAGATGACTTGTTTTGCTATATAGGCATGGATGTATGTGATGCTAACGAAGGTGTCTTCCAAAGATATGGTGAGTGCAATACAACCGGACTACAATGCTACTCAAAATGGAAAGTGGTCGTGTTCAGCTACGAAAGTACTAGAAGAACGCGTCGGCAGGGTCATTTATGAATAGATACGCTTGTAATATACATGCATGATATATACTTGCGATAACTGCTGTGTAAACAGATTCACGTGCATGCACAGCAACCACCGGGTGATAGAAAATGCTGTACGTAGTTCTCATTCACAATATGTACACAAGACATTATATATCATACAAACAACCAAAAATTAATAAATCATGCCACGGCCGTCGTCAACTCTGAAAGGCAAAGCCGCGAAACGAGTTCGTCATTGGATAGACTTTATAAGGTCTTTTCTTGGAAAAAGTTTGTCAGGTCTTCTGGGGGATTTAAGGGTTAGTTATATGTAGCTGTGTGATTATTTTGGGGGGCCTTGGTGTCCATCAATTCCACTCTACACTGCCGGTCGACGGGACCTCTGACCTCACCTGTCATTGACTGCCACGGCGCCACCTGTGGTCAAATACGTATAGAACAAACGATGCTGATCACATTCCTAAAGTATTCAATTGTAGTGTATGATATTTTTCCCGACATTGCGCACGATAACTCTTTAAACACATTTAAATCATTGCGCAAGTACTCCACTGCGTTTGTAGTGTTTGCCATACACGTCTCGAAGTTCAGAGGGAGGCTGCAGATAATCAGTCATGTGTGAACACTTGCTATAGTATTTCGATTATATACATATATGTATTGTACATGTACATGCATATCCATACGTACATGTGCATTTCTATTAATATGTATATGTATGTATATGTCTATCTATATGTATATGTCTATGTTTAGTATATGTATATGCATATATTTGTACATGTTCATGTATCTGTATTAATATATGTATATGAATGTATG